GTAGACAGCCTCGGTCACGAGGATTCATGATCAATCAGAGTGGGATAGGGTAGAAGGCCTTGCGCGAGGATCAATAACAACGAGTATGAGTATGGCTATGTAAGCATGAGCTGAAGATGGATGGGGCAGAAGGCCTCGGTCACGAGCATGTTGAAGGCGCGCTGGTCCTCGAGGTGCCTGCAGCAAGAGGGCGAGCGGCTCGCAAGCGGCTCGGGGAAGGCGCGCCGGGCCGCGGCAGGGGCAGGGGCCGCGCCAGTCGTCCGTCGGCGCGACGAGCTTTGCGTGCCACCGCTCCGCCAGCGTGAGGGTTCGCGGCGTCGGGTTGAGGAAGAGGACGCCTGAGGAGTGGGTAGCAGTGGTGAGGAGGAGTGACTTGCAGTCCTCGGCACCAGTCGGGTCGGAGGGCGACCTGCGGGGGACGCCGCGGGGACGTGTCACGGACGTGTCCGAGGTGTGCCGTCCCGCCGTCCTGCCGTCCGAGGGGGAGAGGAGGGGGAGAGGAGGGGGAGAGGAGGGGGAGAGGAGGAGGAGAGGAGGGGGGGGGGGGAGGCGCCGGTGTTGAAGGTGACTCCGTAGAGGTTCTGAGGGTTGTGCCCGCAGAACCAGACGCCCTTGGGGTCGAAGCGCCTCGAGTCGCCGCGCTTGTTCGCGTCTGCCTCGCGCGAGAGGCAGTCGCTCGTGACAGCGATGTCCGCCGCGGCGGCGCGCGAGCGCAGGAAGGGCTCCGGGTCGGCGAGCCAGACCGTGTCGACGTCGCTGCAGAGGACGGGGCGGCCGCGCCGGAGGAGGGAGAGGAAGGCGGCGACCTTCATCGCGCCCATCCGCCGGAAGCGCGCCTGGTCGGCGCCGATGCCGCGGAAGTCGGACGCATCTCCGAAGACGGAGAAATTGAGTACCGGAACACCGAGCCCTGCCCAGCTCGAGAGCGAGGGAGGGTCGAGCGCAGCAATGGCGAGCTGGTGCGCCCGTCCGACGGCCGCGCAGGAGAGGTAGAAGTTCTGCGCAAAGTGAAGGTAGGCGGCGTTGCTAAAGGTAAGCCACACGACGGCCCCCTTTGGCAGGACAGCGTCGAGTGCCTCGGCGGTGACGACGCCACGCACCGGCGACGAAACGGCCGCGGCCGCTGCGCGCACTCGTTGCGAGCCCTTCTCGAGAGCAATCCTGGTGGCCTCCTCCGAGGACAGCGCGGCAGAGCTGCGGGATGTCTCTACAGCTGCCCATCCACTATCCGGCGGCTTTTGACGGCTCCTCTGGAGGGCTAGCTGCCGGCGCGAGACCACGGGCGCGTGGCTCGGCGCACGGGCAACGTTGACGATGCCGACCAGTGCGAACGGGAGAAACACAAGCCAGATGGGAAAGCGACCTTCGGAGATGCTGGAGGAGGTGCGAGGCATGCCAAAGCTCACGGCGGAATGCACAACACGCTTGCTGGGTTCCAACTTTTTCCGGGGTGTGGTATGGTCCTCAAAGGGTGGGGGGGTATGGTCCTGACCGCACAAGACTAGCCCTCGACAGGGGTGGGGGGGTATGGTCCCTCGGCCCCTCCCTCTACTGCCGCCGCCGAGCCCGCAGCGCCATGAGGTAGGAGCACGCGCCCGTGTCGCGGAGCTGCTGCAGCTGCTCCACGCTCCACTCGCCGACACCCTTCTGGTTGCGGAGCGCCTCAATGTACTACAAGTCCCTCGAGATTGCGCCGCTGGCGCAGCCGGCCAACCCCCTCGAGGCGACCACCGGCGAGGCGACCACCGGAGTGGGGGCACCCGCCGGCACGGCGATGCCGATATGGATGACCTCGCCGGTGCGGTGGCCCGCGGGGCGGCCGGCGCGGCGGCCACCGGAGCCGCCCGCACGGGGACGGCCGGCGCGGCGCCTGCTGGTGCGGCGCCCGGGTGCGGCGACCGGCGCGGGTGCCGCGCCCGCCGCTCGCCACCCAGGCGATTGCCAACTTCGCCGCCGCGCTCTAGACGAGCACCGGCCGGTGCTGGCGTGGACGACGGCTATCCGCGCGTATCTAGTGTGCGTGTCGGTGTCTGCAGCCTACTGGAGCCTAGCAGTAAGGCGGCCGGCGGTGGGGCGAGGGGGGGGGGGAGGGGGGGGAGGGGGGGGGGGAAGGGGTGGAGGGGGGCTGGGTATGTCAATTGGCGGGGGGGGGTATGGTCTCGAGGTGGGTTGCGCGACCCTACCATACCATACCCCGCAAAAAGTCCGAACCCTGCCTGCGACATCATCTTTCGTGACGAGAGAGAGGCCCTTGAAGGGCCCCGCCCCCGATGGGGTTGACTGGGCTAGCGCTGGGGGCTGGGCGTTACCACGAAGTTGCTGATGTGGGTAGACGAACAAAAAGATAAAAGTAGGGGAATTCGTCCACGTAAGTCTTGGGGAGTGGTTGGGGTGGCCTCAGGCATCCCCAAGGGAGTCGCAGCGGTGCCCCATAAGAGCAGCTTTTAGCGAGACTGCCTATGCGGACCCGCCCGTCGCGTAGGGTTGTCAAACGTTAAGAGCTGAACAGTGTTGCTAGTGTTAACAGTAACAACAGAAACAACAGTGGGGCTCCCCAACAACAGTAGCTAACGTTAGGCCGGCTGAACAACAATAAGGAAGGCCTGGCAGTGACCCACGACGATCTCCAGCGTCCAGTGGCAGTGCGGGTAAATACCCGAAAATACCCGGGAAAACCCAGGTATTTTCGGGTTTTACCCGGTGTTTTTTGCATTTTCTGCTTGCTGACCACTGAACAACAGTAACAACAGTAACAACAGTAACAGCTTGGGCTGGCGTGGGGAGAACACTTGAACAACGTTGAGGATTTCAGCCAACAATACGGCTCGACGCCGCTGAGATCGGAGATCAAGCTCTGACAGGTCGCACGTCGCTCCTTTGATGCCGACGTGACTCACCCGTGCAGATCACATCAGTACACGGACTTGACGCGCTCGGTACGACGCCTGCGACCCGTCTCCGGTCAAGTGGCACGACGCTCATCGCGCCCGCCAGCGCTGCCGTGCAGGTTGCCACGACAAGGTCGGGCACGCTTCTATACGCTCTCCCAGCCTTCCTTTCCATCCCATTAGGCAGCCTTGGGAACGGTGGCGGTCAGAGGCAAAGCCTACGAGGGGTGGTGGAACCACATGTCACGGCTACTGCCGGCTCGACCCCACGATAGCCTCCGAAGGCTGACTTTGCGGCACCATCATCGGACGATGTCGACGAGTTGGGTCGCTCTCGCGGTAGCCAGATGACCGCTCATACTAGTAGTATCGGCCATGGCCGCAGGGAGCGCGGGGGAGGGCGCTGGGAGCAACACGGAGCTCCGTTGGAGACGTTTTCAAGATTAGCGTGTCAGAGTGAAATGGCACTAGCCTATCGTTAACTTTGTGTGGGCCTAACAGTTGCACTAGAGCGGTGACAATTTGGTACATCTCCAGGACGCGCAGAGGCAGCTGCGATCCCGCCGAGTGGACGGGGGCACTCCGCGCCACCTGCCGAGAGGTACCAAATGGCGCAAATGGTCAAATCAAGGTTTTGTAACGCGATCTGTGCCTGTCCGCTATAGCCGCAGCCACTCCCAGCTGCTCGGTGTGAACAGAGTTCGCAACTCGAGATCCCTCGAGAGTTCACGCGGAGTCGGCTGGGGCTATACCAGACAGGATCTGTGCCAGAGTGAAATGGCACTAGCGAGAACGTTTGACAACCGCCTAGTCCCTAGTCCCGCTACCGTCGCGCCTCGGACCCTGTCCTCCTCCCCCATCCCTCGTTTGGGTTGTCTATTTTCTTTCTTTCTCTCTGCGGACACCTCCCCCCTCGCCATGTTACCTGCATGTTAGAGCCGTACGAGGTACGTGCAAGGGGATAAATAAATAAATAAAAACGGACACCTCTACTGTGAGATGGGTAAAAAGGAACGAGAGATATTCTGGTATAATAAAAAGGAGGGGGGAAAATCAAATGAACTCGGGGGCGCACAGGACGCGGCACGTAGAAGAATGT